TTATACTTTTAATAAGTGGTACATTGGTAAAAACAGAATAAATTATCATTAAAAATTAAAATTAATATGCATTATATTTTATTTAAACTGAACTCTGTGTATTTCCACATAAATTTTTTTATATATATAATTATTTGTAACAGCTCTTAGCACACGATACGCACAACATTAACCTTTAGATTTCTGTTGAAAAAGCTATAAATTTCTATTTCTAATAGCATCATTATAGATGGGTAAGAAAAAGCTAATTTTTACCCTTGAAGATACATTGTGACCGAAAGGTTTTCGGAAATTCTCATTTAAAATTCGCGCGCTGTATATTTTTCGATATTTTAAGTTTATGTAGTTTGGCAGCACTGTCCTTAATTACTATGCCAAAAATGAGCGCGATCTGTCAGACAGTTCGTTTACGGCAGCTGTTGAAACCAGTTCACCTCAGTAGTGCGTTGCGAAAAAAACAATGGAAAAAAATATTGAACAAAGAGTTTGCATCAAATTTTGTTTTTCGAACGAAATTTCGTGTGCAGAATCGTTGCGAATGCTACAAAAGGCTTATGGGGAATCAGTTTTATCGAAAACTCAAGTTTATGAGTGGTACAAAGCCTTTCAGGACTGTCGTACGACCGTCGAAGACATGCCGCGTTCTGGACGACCTTCGACCTCTACCACCGACGAAAACATTGAAAAGGCAAAGGAAATCGTGTTCAAAAATCCTCATGTGAGTGTTAGAGAGATAGCACGAGAGCTAGGCATCGGTCGTGAGATGGCTCGTTTGATTTTGGTGGACAATTTGTGTATGCGACGTGTCAACGCCCGGCTTGTTCCGATTCACCTCAATTTGTTCAACATTATCAACGATTTTAAGGCCAAACATTCAATAAATACCATCGAACAGCCACCGTATTCACCTGATCTTGCACCGTGTGACTTTTTCCTGTTTCCCAACCTCAAATTACCACTCAGAGGAACGCGTTTTGAATCCATAGAAGACGTAAAACAGAATTCGCAGAGGGAACTCAAAGCCATACCGGAAAGCGCCTATAAAAATGTTTTGATGATTGGAAGAAACGTTGGCATTTGTGTATCGCTTCTAATGGAGCATATTTTGAAGGAGATAAAATAAATATTGATGAAGATTAAGAATTTAAACAGACAGAAACCTCCCCCAACCAACCATATATTATTCTCCAATTCTAGTCATCAGCAGTTGCAACCCATTCAAAAGAACGCTCTTTTGTGCACCACATTGATCCCTTATGAAGAAGTGGTAGCCAACGTAGAGATAAAATCGGTCAATTTTTATCAATACTTTGTGCACAATAGATTTTTTAGGTCCGGGTGTATTCATAGTCTATTATTTAATAATAATCAATACCTTCTACCGTGCATCGTTTACTTATAATCGTAATTTAAAACTAGTTATCGAGTCTTATTTTCGAGAGAAATCTAAAAATATTCTTCAATTATATACTTAAGCTAATATATGTTCATATGTTCATAATATTGGCATTGAGTCTAAGCCTAAAAATAATACTTTTTTCTATATATTCAGATGAAGTTTTCTTCATTCTACTGGTTAAGTGCAGGAAATTTTTTGTTTAAAAAAATTGTAAATACATGGTTAGGTGATTGAAATGTTATCTATTAAAGCGATCATATCCTTTCCAATTACAAACATTTGTGGAAATAATTAAAATCAAAATCAAATAATCAAAAATTTCGAATCTTTGGGCTATACCTGAAATACCTGTATTTTGGCCTATACCTGAACAATGTCTTTTTTTAGCGCATCCATATTGCATACTAGCATATTTTTTAGTCCTCACTTTGCTCTTTAAAATGGTCCAGATGAAATAGTTCATCGGATTTGCATCTGGCGAATTTAAAAGCCATTGTGGGGACGAAATGAAGTGTACAACATGATTTCTTAATAATTCTTGGTTCACACGAGCTTTATGAGACGGTGCCGAGTCAGTGTCATGTTAGAATGTCCATGGTCTACAACCGAAATGTTTGCGTGTCAATGGCTCAAAACCAACTTCCAAAATATTTTCCCGATAATAAGTCGGAGAGTGTCCATTGGCGGTCAACATTACTTGAGATGAAAAATTACTTCGGGTGGCCTTTCGTAGTCTCAAATTTTCGGCAGTGCATTCAATTAAGTAAACATGATTATTTTGAGAGTTTATGAACTGCCCAATAAGGGAAATTTTTCTCATCGGAGAATGTTCATCAGATAATGTTTGGAAATTTGCCACGCTACGTTTGTGCAAAAGTAACAACTCCTTTCCTCTTTTCAGTCTAACCTTTTTTAACTTATAAGGCTTAACCTTGAGCTCATTTTGGACTATGCGTCAGATGCTTCGCTGGAATATTTTTAGTTCTTTGGCCATTTGATTTCATTTTATTCACTTTGAGGAGTTTCAGCTGGTTGTGATTGTGATATTCCAGCTAATTATAACACAATCACACTAATAGTTTTGAATTACTTTTGGTTTATAAAACTTGGACGCAAATGCTTGTAATAGCACATACCTTGACTTTTTTTGATTTTAGACCATGAGACCACGAGTAAAATTTTTAGGAAAAGATATATAAACTCTCAAGTCGTAACACTTAAGTAATTGACAGATAGCCCCCAACTTTCACCAGCAACAACAAACTTAAGAAAAACAAGAAAAGAGGAGTGCACGACTCTTCTTTGCGTTTAAGTACAGAAATCAATCAAATTGTTAATTAATTTATATTATTTAAATATTTAACAAACGAAATAAAAGTTGTCATTTCAATTACACTTTTTTTTACAAATTTAATTGTCAATTAGAAGCTCGATTATTATGCAGTCGTTGTAGTTTTTTCGCTAATTTATTTTTTTGAACCGCTAAGTCGATAAGCAGTTGCAAATGCTTTTACAGAAGTTGTATCTGCTGTCGCCGCCAGACCCGTAATTGTAGTTGCCAGTTTTTAGCTACTGCCGCGGCTATTGCTGATATTTATTTGCAATTATATTCTTCAGTACATTGCCAACGGCTTCTGTCTCGATTCGGCTCATTGTCACAATTTCAAAGTCATTAATTGCGTTTTTGATCTTGTGATTGGCAAAGTCGTTTATGTAATGCTAATCGATCTTGAAAGCGAATGCTTTGTATTTTTATTACTTTTTTATAGATTTTAAACGTATTTTAACTTAAAAATGATTTCATTAGAAATTTTTATGTGTATTATAATACTCATACGACGATATTGTCATTAAGAAAATTTACATTTGACATTGTATAAACTAGAAGATTCTGAAGTTTATGCGTTCATTAAAAGACTACCATTTTAAGTATTACGATTGCAGCTACACCTATTCGATTGTCAAGATAATAAATATAAGTCATTGAGCAGACGGATGTGTTAGAGAAAAGTATGTGATACATATATTGGTAAGCCTATTTAATGTACAAAATTTAAGAAAGCATTTTAAAGTAACTACTTAACTTTCATTTGAAATTTTTCACACATTTAACGCACTTAGACATGTTAATTTTAATACCAAATTTACTTCAATAGTATGTATCCTACTCTTTAAATTTGACGGTGATAGGTTCAATGACTAAGGTCAGAAAAAACTAACCATTTTAAGCTGTCACTATTTATATTTTGTGCCTTGGCAAACTGATTGTTGTCATGTGTCATTTGACGTTTCCATACGAAAGTTTGACATAATTAAACATAACCTACCTTAGACATTTTTGTACAAATAATGTATTATTTACGGTGATTTGTAAATTGTATTCGCGAAAAAATTGAATTAACGTGAATTACGACTTTCGACGTGGATTATCAATACAAGAGTACATCGATGAACTGACTACCAGATCTAGCGATGAAGCTCCATCTTAGAAGTTGTACTTATATATAGGTTTTATAGGTTTTATAATTGGTTTTATGGTATCACATTTGGAATTCTTAATAGGTTAAGTTTAAAAGATCCTGATGCATTGTATTCAATAAAGCTTTTTCTTGGCTTACCATTGTTAAACATTTTGGTTTTCCCTGCTAGACCAGTAAAAAAAATTATCTTCGACACTACTTTGCGTGTAGTTCTAGGTAGAGCTTTAAGAAGTTATTATTTCTCTTTCTATATTTTAAAAAATTTTCATTTTATTCACAAATAATTTTATGTTATTTATTTAGTGTAATAAATTTCGCATCCCTAATGGGATGTCAAAAAAGTCACGAAATCGAATTTTTGAACAAGTTTTAATAAAAAAAAATTGTGTTTAATTTTTATTTACAAGTTTCTCTTTATCATGACAACTCCTGCATAGTCCATTTTTCGGAATGTATCGTAGTTGAATCATTAGTGCAAAAACACTCCACCCCGTAAGTCTTCCATACATACTACATAAACTGCAGGTTTGCTAAAATCCTGGTCACCATCAATATATTCAATTTCAAAGTGTAAAGAATTTGATTGACTCAAGAACTTGGATCAAATGTCCAGTTATTGGGCTTTAGAGCTACACCTAGAACAGAAATTCTATATCATAGAGAAATCATCTTTGGAGGTGAAGTTCATTTGTAGTAGGTTTAATTAATAAACAAAATTTTACACAATGCCCACATATTGTTCATAGAACGCCCTGTTGTTTACATGAATTTACAGTTTAGTGTGTTTTATGGTTATGATTGGTTTCTATATTCTAATAAGGATAATACCACAGTTATCACTTTTGGCTAAAGCATCATAAACATGGTCAGTAAATTTTTGTGATATAGAAATCATCTTTCTACATACAGGATATGTGCTCACCAGTCCACATATTCTTATGACATTTCATTATTTTTTACATAAACAATTTATTAAGAGAAGAGTTTGCAATGCATGACCTATCAACGTTTATATATTGTAAGAATCATAATAATAGCCGTAAGACATTTCATGAAACAAGAATTTTTATTAATTTCTTTAATAAACAATATATCACTTTAGTGATTTTAATATTACGCATGAAATTTTTTAATTTGTAATCAAATGTTTAATTAAAATCGTTTACGAAAGATAAAATGTTAACTATTTGAATATTATAATTTTTGACTTCATTATTTATATTAAGCTAAGCATTAACGTCCACCTATTTTTTGCGAATCGGCAGAACCCGGCTTTTTCAACGGAAATTCAGTAACAACTGCTTCTACTGTTGTTAGCAAAGATGCTACCCCTGCTGCGTCCATAAGAGCTGTACGCACAACCTTAATAAATATATGCTTAGATATTTGTTAAAAATTAATTTTGAAAATCATTTACCTTTGTGGGATCAATGATACCTGCGTCCACTAGATTTCCATATTCATTTTTTAATGCATCGTAACCAAAATCACCGGCTCCCATTTCGACCCTGGCAACAACAGTTGCTCCATCAACTCCAGCATTTTTAGCAATGGTCATACAAGGCTTTCTAAGCGCTGCACAAATAATTTCTATCCCCATATTCTATTAATTAAAATACATTTTAATTTTATTAAATTATTAAATTGGAAATATATATAATTTTATTAAACAATATACTTGATCTTGGTTCTGGCCTCTGAGAGCCTGCAAAGTGGGAATGCATCTCAACAAAGCGGTTCCTCCGCCTGGTACAATTCCTTCTTCAATTGCGGCGCGGGTGGCGTTCAAAGCGTCAGTGACGCGATCCTTTTTTTCGTTGACTTCCACTTCACTAGATCCACCAACGCGCAATAATGCAACACCACTAGATAGGTTTGCTATGCGTTCCTGCAATTTTTCTTTTTCGTAAGTGGATTTGGTGTCTGATAACTGACCTTTAATACTGTCAATGCGACGCTGAATTTCGGCTTTATTTCCACCGCTATTCATGAGCAAGGTATTATTTTTGGTTACAATAACCTCTCCCACTTTACCTAGGTCATTGATCATTACATTTTCAATCTTAAAAAAATGTTCTTCATCTCCACAAACTGCTCCACCAGAAGCTACAGCCATGTCAATTAGTAACTCTTTGGTAGCATCACCAAACAATGGAGCTTTGACTGCAGCTATTGGTAGTCCCAACTGTAAACGATTTAGTACCAATGTGGACAGGGCGTCGCCATCAATATCGGTGGCTATTATTAGCAAGGGCTTCTTCTGTTGATTTGCTAATTCCAATGCTGGTACAATACTCGACATGGCTCTAATTTTTTTTGCAGAAAATAAAACTAATGCATTTTGGAATTCAACCTTTGTACCATTTGAAGAATTTATAAAAAATGGAGACAAGTAACCCTTATCAAATTTTAAGCCTTCGATGAATTCAAGTTCATCAGATAAGGAAGTTCCATTTTTTATGGTGATAGCGCCATCACGTCCAACCTTCTGCATGGCCTTACTAATAAGAACACCGATCGAATGATCACCATTCGCTGAAATTGTTGCAACTTGCTCAATCTCGACATTTGTCTTAATGGGTCGAGACATGGCTTTTAAACTATCTACTGCAGAATTAATGGCAAGCAACACACCTCTGCGGATTTCAATCGGGTTGGCACCTTTAGATATTTTCTCAAACCCTTCGTTAGCAATAGCTCTAGCTAATACAGTTGCTGTTGTGGTTCCATCACCTGCTTTCTCATTAGTGTTGGTAGCTACATCTTGTACTAACATTACACCAATATTTTGAAATTTGTCTTGTAGAGCAATGGATTTAGCAACTGTAACACCATCTTTAGTGATTTTTGGGGGGCCCCATGGCTCTTCAATTATAACACTACGACCTTTTGGGCCCAATGTCACTTCTACTGCATCTGCTAAAACACCAACGCCTTGCATCATGAGTGCGCGAACATTGGGTCCAAAGCGCACGTCTTTGGCATAGTGACGAAGAACCATTTGACGGCTAATGATGGTACGAGCAAAACGAAAAGAAGTTAGCAACATCTACAAAAATGAAATTAATTAATGTAAAATATTTTTATTTTAATTTAATTGAAAATGTAAATTTATTTATTTATCTTATTTCTTTTCACATATAATTTATTATTCTATTCTCCTTGTGTAAGGAGCCTTAAGTGTGTTAGGTGAAGAGCACATAAGTCTTATCCTATTCATAAATGTCAGGATTTTTTTTTTATTTTTGATGACATTTTGTTTATTGTAATTTATTTAATTGAATTTCAATTAATTAGGTTCAATACGAAATTCGATATATTGTATAAATAGAACAGAAAGGCATGTAGGTCTATTCTATTTCTCCTTATCAAGACAAGGCTGTAGTAAAGTTCTGTACTTTTCTTCAATAATTTAATACTTAGAAATACAAGGTTTAGAATTAGACGATAAAGTATAGAAAAGTAAAGCAGGTAGTGATCGTAATATGGAACCCATGAATCTATTCGAAAATCTACATTATATTTATTAATACATTTTTAATTTAATTTACTTATGTTATTTTCAAATGGAAAAAATAATCAAAAAATAAATTTAACAATATAAACAGTACTATTAATATCTTTTAGCATTTTTATTTTGGATCCATCAATCTTGATAAAAATTGTCGGAACTTAATTTTCATTAACCAATAAGTAATTAGTTTTAATGCAAATTATTTGCATCGGAAAATGTTTTAAACCGCGTGAAGGCTCTCAGTGTCTTTTGTGATTTCTTCAAGTTATGACTACAACCAAAGTAAATTTGATAATCCTTTGCAGGATTTATTACTATATATTAACTGGACTTGGAACAGTTAGCGTTGACATGCAAAAGGAAACAATATCGCATTCCAGATTCTTTGAAATATATTCATTTATACATAATGCGGGAATGCTTGCCGCTGCGGTGTATGTACTACGCAGTTCAACAGTAATTGCGATATATGCAGCTACGGATATTTTAGAATTGTGTTTAACGATATTTGGTGTTTTGAGAATTATGTTTGGCGTATACACAATCTTCAGGCGATATTTTCGGGAGAGAGGACTAATTCAAATATTTAATAATTTGTTTCATTTAAGACTTTGTTCGAAGTATGTAAGACCTACAACAACTTCACGTCAACAAAAAATACGCAAATTGCTTTATATTAAATTCACATTTCTAATTATATCCTTCAGTTTAGCAATTTTTGTCAGGTGGAAAACAGCAAGAAATTTTGAATTAATAAATTTTTGTGACATTTGCGTTTTTCATAATATTGGGAACGTTCTTGATGCTTCAATTTTCCATTTTATTTTGGCTCTTTGGAGTATAATAACACACTTTGAAGCCATAAATTCACGTCTCTATGCAATAATAACTCAACTGGTTGATAATCAAACACCTGGCTCAAAGCAACAAACGGAAGAAGTTGAGCACTTATACATAGAACACAATGAACTGCATAACGTGGTGAAAGCTCTTACACAACTTCACAGAGTTGAGCTATGTTTTGCAACTACTACCTATTTTTGTGGCCTTGTTGGTTCTACGCATATGTTGGTACTAAATTATACCGGAAAACTTATGCTCGATGCTGCCACAGTCGTCTTTTTGATTTCGTCGATTTTGCATTATTTCATAGGCGCGAGCTTATTGCAAGCCATGTGCCAGTATACTATCGATGCTTGTAATGAGGCTCTCAACATTTTTACTCTTGTCACGGAACTACAAAGTAATGTCGATCCCGTGTTTTATAGAGCGGTGAGTTAATGCTCTCAGTGTAGATGACAGATGGAAAAAATGTTTTTCTTTTATTTTCAGTGTGAGTACTTCATTTTGCAACTCACCCACCGTAAGTTGTCAATTAAAACGTTTGGAATGTTCCAAATCAATAAACGACAAGCATTCACTATGTTGATAGAAATCAGCTCCTATATTCTGATAATGATACAAAGTGACTATATGAATCTTTAAACGAGGAAGTGTTTCAAAAATAATTGATAAATCGAAATAAATACCACTCAATGATCAATAAATCAAGGATTCATTCGGAAAGTCCAATCATACCAATATATATATATTTTTGTTTTTAATTTTAATTTGCCTTTATATCAACCAATACATATATATAATGTATATAAATAAATACATAATCAAATATCAAAATTTTTAATTTAACAAGTAGACAAATATCGGATATATGATGTGATATGATGATATTATGTGAAATATACACATGAATATGAAACGGAAATACGTACGGGAATCGTGAAATATCATGTTTAGAGTTCACAATTTACTAGGGAGCTAAATAAACTATACGCAAGACTAGAAAGTTTAGCTAAAAATATTTTGAACTATTTTTCAAAACCAGTGCAAGACCTGAAGACAGAGCCTTGAAGTTATATGTGAAAATTGACAGGCTATCCTACTTACCACTATCTAATCTTAGAGTAATCACTGTCCGCACGGGGAGGTATGCTGATCTTAGATCAATCACTGAATAATCATGAAGCTTATAGGCAATACATAAATTAGTCAATGAGATAGGTGGGACCCTGTAGTACCCCCAGCTATCAAAGTGTAAAAGTGCACAGTTGCACTGACTCGAAAAAAAGGATCAACATACATATCAAAAAAAAAAAAAACTAAGATTTGTCAGAAAAATTAGGGAAACAGTTGTGAAATTTGAGTGGTATTTCAAAAAGTACACATGAAACAACAAAAAACAAAAAAGAATAGAAGGACATACTTCCTATATACCATAAAAAAACTTCAATCCACATTAAAAAAAAAAAAATTAAAATATTTATTTCTTAAGAGTACTATGCCAAATTTCACATAAGTTATATGCGTTTCAAGCTGTTCAAAATTTATGACATACATATGTTTTGTTTAAAACTTTGTACTTACGTTTACAAGCCTCAAAAAAAGATATATGTTGAGCTGAAAAATGAATAAAAATGTTTTATTAGTTTTTCATATTTTACAATACTTAATTAAATACTAATTAAATAAATACTAAATTAAATCAAAGTAGAGTGTGGGAGAAATATATATGTTACCAAAAAAGAGCACTCAACAATGCCATTTTACTTACAAAAGTTTTTAACCGTTAAACGAATGAAATTTTTTTGAAGTTTCTATATTTTATAATGTATTAGTTGAAATTCCGATCAAATCAACGTCAAGGATTGCTTAATTAATTACATTAATTCAAAGTAGAGTGAGTGAGAAATATATATGTTAGTTGAAAAATTTGAAAGAACTATTGCAAAGTGAATGGTTTCGACAATGAATTTGAAAAACCCAAAAAAGTATACTCAATAATGCCATTTTACTTGCAAGAGTTTCTAGATACCAATTTTGTACTATTTTATTTAAGGTTTGTGCTTAAACGTATTTTCTATCCCATATAAATTTACTTTATAATTGTAGCATTTAGAAAATGAACATCTTGTTTCTATTCCCATCTTGTGTACATCTTACAGCTTATAATTTATAGGCAAGACCCATTAAAAAACTACATTTTTAGTGAGATAAATCGAACTACTTAACCTTATATTTAGATTTTGGTTTAAAAGAATCATAGAACTATCTTTTAGAAAAGAACTCAACGCGAAGCACTTACATCTAACCCAAAATCAAAAGAAACGGTAATGTTTTCTCAACCTTTGCAATATATTGGAGGACTAATATAGCTGGCTTTGGATTCAAAGATATAAAACTAGTTCCAAATTTTTTTATAAAACATAACAATAATAACTGGACAAGCCATCTGGTGTGCTTTACGTGATCAGTGTAAAAATTTCATATACGAATTGATGCTAAATGGCACATGCAATTGTTTTCAGTAATCAATGTAAAAGGTTTCCAACTTTTAAGTCGGCAAGTTATGCATATTACCTGAGAGACCCGGTCTCTCCTACATACATACTACTCTTCATATCAGATGTCTGTTTTCCTATACCATTACTATCCATGCATTGGCAAATAGCGTTGTCGATTGTAATCGCATCGTAAACTGAGATATATTTACCACCTTGTATTCTTGTTGTACATGTAAGTATATAATCGTACATATTACGATATACATATTATACTAAGCTACTTTATTGCAGCACTCATAACCTCATTTGGTTTGCCATTGGTTCTTGACTTGTCAACGTTGTTCTTGCAAAGGCGTTCAATTAACTTTTTCTCATACGTTATTATTAAATATCCTCTAAGGAGAAAGTTTCTTTTAAAGAACTAAGCATACAACTATTATTATCGGCTTTTAAATTGATTAATAAATTTGTAAGAGTTTAATAAAAACATTCAGTCCATTTAATGAATTTTAAATATGAGAAAATACAAGAAACAAGAACTTTGCAGTTTTTATTTTTAATAACTTTATGACAACCATTTATAGTATTAGTAAATAATATAAATGTTATATTTATTTGAAATCAATTATTCGCGTTATCTTTTAATCCAAAAAGCACCCAGTACGTGAACAGTTTAGCACCTCTTTTCTCAAACCACAATCTCCGTGCACTCTAGAGTTAATTAGCTAATTATCCATTGTATTTTCTAATAACCATTAAGTATGATAAAATCTTCTCGAAAAAATGCATTCATTTACAATTCTTCTTTTCTGTTCCAAAAGTACGTAATAACCCTGTATATGTGTATGCGATCTGTTATCTGCATTTAAAATGAACTCATGAGTTTAATACTGCAATGAGAGGATATAAAGTCCAGCCAATTTAGAAATTTACACAAAGTTATGCTGTCCGCAGTAGAGGTGCAAGGTTGATATATTCTTACCTGCCTAGAAAAATGTTAAAATTAAACATTAATTTGTTAAACATTGGAAAATTTTACTATTATCTACTTAGTGGTTTAAGCACAGCTAATATTGACATCAAGAAGCAGTGCATAACAGCGTCTCGTTTCTTCACAACATACGCCTTCATCTATAATGTGGGTCTACTAAGTTTTCTAGGTTATATACTGTGGAGCGATCAAGATATATTTGGTGATTATCAAACCATGAAACTACCTCAAATTATATCCAGTGGACTCATCCTTTTGCGCGGTGTAGTTGTAGTACTTATAATACTACGACGTTGTACTCGAGAGCAATCTATTATTAAAATATTTAATAAAGCATTTGAAGTTACAAATAAATATTTACGCAGTCTACAGCCAGCAACACCTCGTCTAAATTTAGTAGTTAACCTATTCCGAGCTAAACTGGTCTTAGTGATTATGTACACAGCCTCTGTTTGCTATTCGATTTGGGAACTAGTCAGTATAAGTGCATGGATGCAACTACTCATGTCGCTTTGCCAATCAAATTTTGTTAATATGCTTAGTGGATCTTTGTACAACTTTGCATTGGCCCTATGGTACATATTGAGCAATTTCGAGGCAATAAATGAACATGTCGATATAATATTGAAAAAAGCTGTTTTATGTAAAGAAAAAGATTTCGAAGCGCTAACTGTGGAATTGCATGATTTGTCTGTGGCTAATAATGAGTTTTCTCTTTTAGTGCAACGTCTTATAGGTGTCCATCGATTCGAAATACTGACCTTATCGACAATTTATTTTACCGTTTTCGTTTCATCTATATATATTTTGCTTTTAAACTATTTTGGAAAATTATATTCCGAGAATCTCATGGTCTGGTATATTAGCATTTTACTTGCGGTCTACTTAATCGATGCATATATTTTGTATACTATGTGTCAATGCGTTGTCGATGCTTGTAACGAACCCTTGGAGATCCTAAATTTTCGCACTGAGCTGCCTGTGGAAGCTGATCCAGAATTTTTGAAGGAGGTAAGTGCTTTATTGCGGTAATCTTTGTTGTATGTGTGTGGACACTGTTTTCTTTTATTTTTAGTGTGAATACTTTGCTCTACAAATTTCTTGTAAACAATTCTCTATCCGAGCACTTGGAATGTTTGATCTCAATAAAGAGACAATATTTAATATGTTTGCGGCTATCACATATTATATGATATTTCTAATTAAAAGCGATTCATTCAATGTGTAGAAAAGTATTGCAAAAAATAACTTTATGTAGATTAATGCAACTTTGTGTTTTCTCTCTATATATTAATATGTAGCTGAGTTTTTTCAAATAAAAATTTAAGAAAAATATTAAAATAAATTATTTAAAGTAGAAAAAACTTATACAATATAAAACCTAATTTAAGAAGGTCTCTCTAGTCTACTTATTCTCTAGTAAGTTTCTTTTGTGAAATCTAAGAAATATTATTATATGGATCAGTTAGGTATACTTATATCATGATTTTGGATGGGATCCCCTACAAAAAATGTGCTCATGATTGAAATACAGACAATGTTCAAGGCGAAGCGGGCAATATATATCTACATACGAGGTCGCTTATCAGATAAGCATGAATGTTGAACGTAATCCCTAACTCAAATAATTTTTTTGTTTTCAAACAGTCTTTATTGAGTATGTTTATTACTATTGTTGAATAGAGTTCAATATATATTCAAAAAGACGTATTTGGGTTTACTGTACCAGTCTTAAGCTTCTAATTGTAAGGCAATGACAATCCTGATAAGAAGAGTTAGTTGTTGGTTAATAGCTATGCATGTCTATGAAGCAGCGTTTTAATTTTATTTCTTGAAATGACAGTAAGTCTTAGCAACGCTCCCGAAACTTACTGTATCAATAATCAATTAAGATTTTTAGAAATCAATTTTTTCTTAATTTAAATTACCAAAATAATAGCCTTAATTCTCAACGCGTATATCTTGTATACCGATAAAACGTATGTCCCATAAAATATAATTTCAAAAAATTTTCTACCAACAAGGTTAATACAGGTAATTAACATTAGGTAAGAACATGTTCACAAAACAGTTAAAGCAAAGGAGTTTCAGAACCCCGTTGAGAATTAACACACTAGTCTTCAGAGTCTATATACAGTTTAGACTCTTATAGGGTTACTACTTTACTGACCATTTTTCCAACTGGTACCGTCAGAGATCAGCAGATATGTACTTTTTATGTTGATACTAACTAGTTTAACCTACCTACTTTCCAGACCAAGCAACTAAAGAATTGGGAGAAGAAAACAGATTTTGATTATGGTAAACAATCACAAGCTATAAGAACTACCACCATAGAATTCTCTAATTTGACAATTGTCATAATTGCTTCACTATAATACCAATGTTTTTATATAGAAAATAAGAAACTACTAAAGTACATAGGTATGTGTAAATTTATTCTACTTAGACCATGATGAAACCCATTATGCTTCATATATTCAACGTGTAAAAAGGTGATTGAGTGATTTTTATAGATAGGCAGTAAAATATGTGTCATAACGTATTAAGGTATGAACAGTATATTTCACTATAGAGAAGACCCAAAAAAACACGTTTCTAGATAATTGAAATAACATAAAAAGCAGTTCCATGAACTATACAGAGAGGGCTTATAGAGGGCTTCTTATGCAATATATGAACTATTTTCCTCCTTATTCTTTCGTGAAAAACTGTTTTCATCAAAAGAAAAGGTACAAGCTGATTGCTGCTGAAGTTTAATTCTATAAGTGGAAGGACCTCTGGTCTAAATGTGTTTAAAGGAAGATAATATTGAAAGTCATTTTCAGGATAATTAAAGAAAAATTTTATTTAAAAAATACTTCCGATGATAAAGAATGGTTAAATGGATTGTTGTGCTTCACTTATGTGAAAAATGTGTAATAGAAATTTAATTTAATTTGTGACTATGGACAGTTTTTTTATTTCAAAATGCTCGTAAAAAAACTCTATGGTTTAAATACGTATGCAGGAGTAACCCCTCAGATATTATCAGTTTTTTATTTAATTTTTTTTTTGTAAACTAATTAACAATTCATTTTGCCATTGCCATTTCTGTTAAAAGCTGAAGTTCAAATATT